GGCCCCGCGTCTTTGCCTCTGCTGTGGTCTCTGCAGGCCCGGGCTCAGAGTTGTATTCCTGGTGGAAGCTGCCCGGTGGTTCAGTCATAACCGCCTTGCTGTTGTCGGAAGTGCAGCCTGTAGTCTACTTACGGATACACTCTTATCAGCAGAATTAAATATATTGCAAGTCAAAGGGAAAACCATCGATTCCATAAATATGTGAGCAGCTATTAGCCCCTTCTTTAAGAAGAAGCAGTTGGTAAAAGACAGCATATTTTAGTGATTCTTCTTCCTCCCTCACCCCTGCCCTTTTTTTGTAGGCAATTTTTGAGAGCAATATTTTAGGTTCACGGCAAAACTGAGCAGAAAGCAGAGAGTTCCCACACGTCTGTGCCCAGCCTCCCCCACGACCCAGCGTACCAGAGGGGTACATGGTTACAGTCAGTGAACCTGCACGGAGACATCGTCACCCAAGCCCATAGTTTACATTAGGTTCACTCTTTAGGGAAAAAAAAAGTTTTTATTGATTCCCTGGAGAGAGGAATAGAGAGGGAGAGGGAGAGAGAGAGAGAGAAACATCGAGTGGCTGCCTCCAGCTCACCCCTTACTGGGGAATGAGCCCAAATCCTAGGTATGTGCCCTGACCAGGAATTGAACCGTGACCTCTCGGGGCACCAAACGATGCTCAACCAGCTAAGCCACACCGGCCACAAATGTATCCAGCATTATAGCATCATACAGAGTATTTCATGGCCCTGAACGCCCTCTGTGCTCTGCCTGTTCATCCCTTTCCCCCTCAACCCCTGTGAACCGCTGATGTTTTTACTGTCCCCATAGTCTTGCCTTTTTCAGAATGTGATAGAGTTGAAATCACACATTAGGTAGCCTTTCAGGTGGGCTTCTTTCACTTAGCAATGTGCATTTAAGTTTCCTCCATCTCTTTTCATGGCTCGGTAGCTCATTTCTTTTTAGTGATGGATAATATTCCATTGTCTTATGTTCCACAGTTTATTCATTTGTTTAATACCAAAGGAAGTCGGTTGTTCCCTAGTTTTGGCAAATGTGAATAAAGCTGCTGTAAACATCAGCGTGCAGGTTTTTTGCAGACATGAGTTTTTAACTCATTTGACTGAATACCAAGGAGTAGGGTTGCCTCACCTATGTTTAATACGCTTTGAGGCACAGACTGACACTAAACAGCCCCCCAGGAAGAGCATGCTCCATGCTGGATGTGCCAGGAGGCCCAGGCCACCTGACATCACTCAAAGATGACACAGTCAGCAACACAGAGCAGGGTCTCTCCCATTCCTGCAGGCTGTGCCTTATTTCTGATTTCTCCAGCTTACAGTATCTTACAGTTGAAAGTCTTAGCTTTAAGCCAAGATGCGACCACCTGTCAATCAGAACAGGGATACAGGGACAATTTATGGTTCTGGGGAGCACCTGGCAGTGCTCTAGGATCCCGACGCAGTTTCTGAGTCACTCGAGGAAGATCAGATGTGCTTCCTGGTTGGGATTCTGACTTTCGGAAGCCCAGCGCTCCTGGTAGGAGGTGAGATTTAGCAGACGGAGCAGCATGTTCTGAGTCTAGCGGACAGGAGCGCTGACTGTTCACGGTGACATACTTACTGAAGTTCAGCAGCCGTGTGATTAGAAGTGTAGTTGTACTTTTTCTTTAATCTTTGAATGCCGGGAAGAATAAAAGGAGCCTTTAGCCATGGTTCTCATTATGCCAGAGCCTTGCCACGTGCTGGGAGACTGTTCATGTGTGATGGTTATACTAATGCGAACTGCCACATGGCCCCGATTTCCCCTGATCCCAAGCAGAGTGTGAGAGCTGCCCAGAAAACATGAGCCCCTCGTGAGAGCAGCCTGGCCCGGGGCTGGTTTAGGACAGGTCCCTATTTGGGGATGCTGAAGGCCACCTGGGAGGATTGATTGAGGGCAGGTCTGCATGGGGCGTGTCCCTTGCGCCCTGGAGGTCAGCGAGCCTGCGTGGCCAAGTGGCCAGGTGTTCCCCGGGTGAAGAAGGGGTTGGTGTCTGTGAAGTCCTGACCTGGGTAAGCTGCCCAGGGGGGCGGCTGTGTGGGGATTACCCAGGTGTTGGTTTTGTGAAACTAAGTCAGGTGCGACCCACAGCTTCTGCCTGTTGACGCAACACCCTCTGATTCTAATTGGCAGCTAGGTCTGGGAACTGCTAGGCAAGGGGACCCCTTCGGAGAGTCTTGAACCTGTGTCTGTGGATAGTTCCTGTGTGAACCCAAGTCCAGTAAGGACCCAGCAGGGGGCCATTCCACTGGATACCTGTGACAGGTGTGCCCTGGAGAGGGCATCTGCAGGAAGGCGCAGTTGTTGAGGCTGAGGTTACAGAAGGGCCCCCAGCCTGCCCTTCAGAGAGGCCCGGAGTGTAGACAAGACTTTTGTGGGGCCTGGGGCTGTAGAAGTAATTCTTTAAATGTTCCAGAAGAGGGGCCACTTCCTGTTTGCTGGCTGCTAGTGGCCTGGCCTGTGTAGTGGGAGCCAGAGGCGACCAGAAAGCCCATGCCCCCCACTTCCTTCCTTGGACCCACCTGGAGGACCTGAGAGACACCCACTGCAGGCAGAGCCGTCCACGGTGCTATCTCTGTTCCACACGCGGCAACGTAATTCACTGGCCCCCAAACTGGAAAGTTGCAAAAGAAGAAATGGGAGGGAAGGTGAATATTGGTAGTTTCTCCGCATTTGCAATGAACTTTCAGACCAGACTTTCTCCGTTTCGAGGACTTCTGGAATAGTCATGTCTTTCACAGAGAAATTATGGCCAATCATAGAGGAGTTACTTGTAACCAAATAATTTCAAAAGCAAATTACCAAAATCCTTTAAAGATTGAATTGCAGAAATTGCATTTAATGTAGAATGTGATGAATTGGCTGCAGCCAAGGTATGTTCGGAGGAGTCGAGGGAGCAGCTGGATCCAGGCCTCCAGGTGACGCACTGACCAGAGCCGTGGGAGGTGCGGCGACACCGCTGTGTGGTGTCCCAGGCTCGCTCCCCCAGCCAGTGGTGCCTTTGTTACAGTGGATGAGCCTCCACTGACAGCGTTATTGCCCAGAGTCCATGGCTTCTGTTGGGTTTCCTCTCGGTGAACATCCTGTGGGCTTCGAGGGAAGTACCCAGGATTACAGTATGGGACAGAGTATTTCATTGCCCTAAAAATCCCGTGCTCTGCCCACTCCTCCCTCCCTCCCTTAACCCCTGGCAATCACTGATCTTTTTACTGTCTCCATAATTTTGCCTTTTCCAGAATGTGATAGAGTTGGACTCATAGAGTTAATGTAGCCTTTTCAGATATTTTTGTGTTAAAATATGCATAATATACCGTTCTAACCATTTTTATGTGTACATTTAGTACATTGCCAACAATGTCACAGTCATTGACCAGTTGGTTCGAGCCTGCTTCAGCCCACCCCAGTTGCAGCCTGGAAAAGTTACAGTGTCTGGGCCACAGAGGTCTTAAAGCTCCCTGGGATCTGTTGCCAGGTAGTAAAGGAGTCAATGCTGGAGCTTTCCTGCGAATACACGTTCTAGGACTATGGGCAGGAATATATATTCTTATTTTTTGAAAAAATGCTATTTCTAGTTCTGGCTCGTGTTGCTCAGTGGGTAGAGCACTGGCCTGTACACCGAAGGGTTGCAGATTCGATTTCCCGCCCTGTTCAGGGCATGTGTGGGAGGCAACCAGTTGATGTTTCTCTCTCCCCTACTCCCTCCCTCCATTCCACTCTCTCTAAAAAAATCAAAGGAAAAAATACCCTTGGGTAGAGATTAACAAACAAAAAAAAACACTGTTTCTGTTAGGAGATGACATTTGGGTGAACATGTCCCAGGTGAGCAAGAGCCCAGGCCTCTGGACGGTCAGGAAAGATACTTGGTGTGTGTCCATCCTGAGTCCCTGGAGTCGTGTGGGGGCCCCCCCAGCCTGCCACGTGTACGCTGGCCTCTCATAACTGCCCAGAGCTTGTGTCCACATGACTCTCTGTGGCTTTCCTGTTTTTTGTGTTGTTTTTTTTAAATCCTTACCCAAGCATGTTTAGAGGTAGGAAGGGGGGCAGAGACAGAGAAATAAACATCAATGTGAGAGCGAAACATTGATCGGTGGCTTCCCGTACGTGCCCTAACTGGGGGTCAAACCCAAAACCTAGGACGTGTCCTGACCAGGAATCGAATCCGCACCTTTTTGGCTCTAACCCAACTGAGCCACCCGGCCAGGGCCCCTCTGCTTTTTGCCCTGAGCAGTGCTACAGAGATGAAATTGTTTCCAGAGAGATTTAGTGTTGTCTCTGGTCTGGGCGTCGCTCACGGGGCGGAATTTAACGCTGAGGATAACTCGTGGCCCAAGTGAAGCTGCCCGGCTGCTCTGCAGTCTCGGAAGCAGATGTGTTTTAGTGCTCAGCTTCAGATGTCGGGCCCGGGGGTCCGGTGGGGAGGCTTCCAAGGAACCCCGCGGAAAACATGTGATTGTCCACAGGCATGTGCCTGGCCGCGTTCTGGTTGCCTGCCGGTAATCATGGGATTAGGAGAAAGAGAGCGCTGTGTGTGAGCGTGTGAGTGTGAGAGAGTGTGTGTGTGTGTGTGTGAGTGTATGAGCGTGTTTGCGAGTGTGCATGTGTGTGCAAACAAGTGTGTATGAGCGTGTGTGCGTGGGAGGTGTGGGGGTGAGCGTGTGTGTGTGAGTGTGGGTGTGAGCATGTGTGCAAGTGTGTGAGCATCTGTGTGTGTGTGTGTGTGTGTGTGTGTGAGCATGTGTGCGCACACGCACATGTGTGCTGCCGCTTCTTAATCCTGATGCCACTTTGCCTGCAGCTGCCTGGGGAGCCTGTCCTTACCGCCTCCGCTTTCTGAGGCTGGAGTGTGCGGCCAGTGGCTGACATCAGAGCTTCAATCACATTTTTGCTTGGCATGTTTATTTTTGTTAGGCGCTTTATTATTTTTTTATGCACTCAGAATTACAGAAATCTCAGGAATTTGCCCCTTGACTCAGTTTCTTGCTGGAGCAAACAAAAGACACTTAACTTGACACCAAATTGGGGAGAAATCAGTGACCCTCCCCCGTCTCTGACCCTCGGAACGCGGGCTCGTGGCTGCGACCACTGGAGATGCTGGCTCACCAGGCTCCAGGCCGAGTCTTTGGTGTGTAGGGTCTGGAACTCATTCACCTTCGAAGACTAAATACCTTATTTTAACCTTTGCAGATTTCAAAGGGACTCAAGCTGCATAATTAATATTTAGAAGAGCAGCAATATCACATGAGAAGGGGAGTCCAGCTCCAGTGTGTCCTGCCCTCGGCTAGTGGCCCTGCTCCCTTCCCTTCCCCTGCACACATTTCCTCTGTCCACAGAGGTGGCCACTGGGCTGTCCCACCTTCGGACAGAAGGGACACACTTGTCTGTTGAATTCCCTGTACTTTCTGTACAGGCCCAAATCCAGCTGAAATGATATTTACATTCCATTGGCCGCCTTTGTTTTTCCCATCTGAAAACAAATTCCATCTTTTTTTATTACTTCTGAGATCATAGAATGTAGGGACCTTCAGGTCATTTAGCTCAACTGTACTCCTCTCCCCCCGATACCCCCCTCAGGACCAGCATGCAGGAGCCCACAGCCTGTGCTGGGAGATTCCTGGTCACACAGGCTTCTTAACTCACATTCCTCCAGGCAGCCCATTTCCATTTTTGGAGGGACGGAGTTTGTAAATGAAAATAACTCGGGTTTAACTGAAATTCCAGTCGGGAGGGCAGCGGCCCACGCTCCCTCTCATCTTTTTTTTTAAGCCTTGCCTGACAGCTGCGAGCGATAGCAGACATGCAAACGGGAGAGGCTCAGGCCGGGTGGGGACGGAGGCGGCCCCGAAGGCAGCAGGCACGTCTGCAGGATCGGTTTGCCTCCTAGAGGAGGGGACAGTCAGCGCCAGTGAACCCAGCTCTGGGGCAGGAGGAGAAGACATCATTTACCTGGGGTGCTTTGTGGAAGGACAGTCTCAACTCAAAACATCCCAATTTCAGTCTGTCACCCAATATGTCCCAATGTTTGGTTCAGAAAATACGATCCCCAGTAGAAGCTGGGCACAGATGAGGCATTTGTTGGCACAGGAAGACAGCTGGTGGGTTGGAGGGGGTCACCAAGGAAAGACCGTTTCCCTGTCATTGTTTAGGCCAGTGAGCAGACGTAATGGATCCAAGGTCAAGTTCTCAGCGACTGTTCTGAGGGGCTCTTTGCTATCCTGTTCTGCTTTGTGAGGATGGGGAGTGATGTCAGAGTTCTCATTATACTTAGGCACTTGCATTAAATTGGCATTTTCATTGATTTTGCGGATCAATGCCTTTCAGAACTCTGGTAGGCAGATGGGGGAAGGACTGTGGCTCAGATGTGTCAGCGTTGACTGGCAGATCGTTGCTCGTCTTGTATTGTTACCCCATTTAATCCCAAAACAGCCTGCAAGGGAAGAATGACTCTCCTTTGAGGGATGAGGAAACTAAGGTTTCCCATGGCCACTTGGCTCATCACTGTAGGGCTGAGCCNGGGATGAGGAAACTGAGGTTTCCCATGGCCACTTGGCTCATCACTGTAGGGCTGAGCCCCCAGCCCCAAAGTCCCCTTCCCTTTCTACCGAACATCCCTATCATCAAGCCGTCATGGGGCCTCCCAGGCCCTCATCGATGTCTGGCCAAGGAGGATTTGCAGCCCCAACCAGAGGTAGGGTGCAGCCAGACTGAGGTCAGCACATTCTAAGCAGAGCATCAAAACACTGGGCTTGTTTCCAGCCAGGAGTTGGGATTATTCCTAAGTTTTGGTTCCCCCGTGGCCTTAGGAGATGTTTGCATGGGGTGTTTGGGTTTATATTTCAGATTTCTTCTTGAATTTTCATTTCAGGACATAACTTGGCAAGATGAGCACTCTGCCCCTTTCTCCTGGGAAACAAGGGTAAGTTGGATTAAATTTAGATTTGCTTGCCCTTTTAAAAAGAATTGCATCGTTACATATTTTTCTTCAGATGGACTCAGAAGGCAGCAGCCCCGCACTGGTGGAAACCGAGAGGAGGGGGAAGGGGCTGGTGATGGGTTAGCAGAGCTGTGTGGTTGCCTGGGCGAGGCCCTTCTGGGGCAGCAGGCTCAGCCTGTCTGGCGCAGCCCGTCTGGGGCCTGCCCCCGCCCACCAGCACTCAGTGCCCTGGTGGGGCTGCTCCATAAGGCAGAGCTTTAAATGTTTTTGGGTGGGAGTGGGTAACAGCTGCTTTTATGAAAATGAAATCAGAAGTGCAGCAGGGACAGGAAGTTGAGTAGGTAGGGACCAGAGAGACCGTGGCAGAGACAAGACTGTGTATCCAAGGCAATTGCGTGCAAGAGTCGGATCTCAGGTGCAAGAGTCCTGAGGCTGAGAGAGAAATGGGAGGCTTGCTTCGTACTGCCTGGAGCTGAAATCACCAGCGATACACACGTACGTGTATTAGCTAATACAGCCTGACTTGGATCACTAACTCCCGTCTCCCAGGCAACCATTATTTATTATTTATTATTATTATTGCCAGTATTGCTTAAGAGTACTGTATCAAGCATAACTGATTTAATTCATTTCCGCATCCTCTCTAGTTGCCCCAGTAGAAGCGCATTAATAAGCAGCAAAACACCAGAAGGCAGGTGTTCTAGAACATTCCGGGCTGGGTGTCGGAGGGCTCTTTCTGTAACTGGGGTGATGCGGACGACTGCATGCCTGGAGTAGGGCTTAGACTTGAGGGCAGACCGGGTCTGTCAAGCACGTCACTTGAAGGGGATGCGTCGTGGTTTTTCTCTTGTTCCCGCAGTTGCTCATCCCAGTAGAAATGGGCATCCAGGGGGCCTTTGAGGAGGGTGGGGGTGGAGCAACAGGGGGTCTGCAGGAGGCCCTCACATGGGGCCTGTGCCTTAAAATGGAACATTGGACAAGGGTTCAGCTCGGTAAGGACAACTGGCATGTTGCACAAAGTTAGCATTTGTATTATGATGGTATAAATATGGGGTGTCCCAAAAAATGTATACACGCTTTGAATGATTATAAAGTCAGTGTTTATGAACATGCAGTTCATTTTCCAACTTAACGTGAGTTATCAGCTGTTAAAGATGTCTATGGGACACCCTGTATTATAAACCATAGTAAATGGTTGCTGACCACCCCAACCAAGCAGCCTTAGGATATGGAGCGTGTGAAAGTTGGGGCGATCCTCACGTCAGAGTTAAGAGGTGGTGTGAGGCTCCGTGGCGTTGGTGCAGGTGAGTGTGCGCTCGGTGAGCACAGCTGTCTGCCCGGCTGCCTCTGCTTGTGTGGACCACTGTGCTGGGTCCCCAGCATCTGCATCCTGCGTGTGTTATCTTTTATTTCCACTGCAGGTTGAAAACCTGGGTCTCTGCAGAGGCAGGATGAGGGACAGTGGTGTGGCTGGAAGCTGGAGTCCCCCTAGGGGTCTGGACACTGGTTGAAGGAGCAGCTGAGGGTAGGGTGGGAGGGAGCAGCCTGGAGTGACCATAGCTCCCAATTCCAACAGTAAATCCTTGCCTGGTGCCATGTAAAGGAAGCTGGAGCCGATCGCATTGGCATTAACCCAGGTCCCCAGTTTCCTTTTATGTGGGCTCCCCGAATGAGTGACCGAGAAGCACAAGTCCTGTAATGAGATCTAGGGATGACAGGCACACTGGTGCTCAGCCATGGGCCATGGGAGTGGCAGCCTGGGGACAGTGGCCCAAGAGGCAGCACAGGCTTTCCTGTCTGATGACTCCACAGCGATGGAGACACAGAGAAGTCAAAATAATACTGAACATGTCCAAGGCCTAAGTCCATCGTGGGCCCTGTGAGAATATCTCCTCTTAAGACTTTACCTTGTTAAATGTTCCCGAATCAGCTGTTGGTGGAACAGCCCATTTCATCTGTTACTAACCTGTGCAGGTGACATCCCAGGACAAGGATCGGGTGGCGCCTGGGCAGCTGCTGACAGGGGCTCAGCTCCTGGGGCCAGCGCAGGGGACAGGTGCTTGAGAACAGGACGCTGATAGAGGCCAGTGTGGATCACACTCATGCTGGCCGTCACTGTCCACAGATACCAGCGGGTCCCTTGGGAACCTGGTGAATTGAGAAGGCTCGATAAAATCAAGTTAGTATGTCACCTGTTTTCACTTGGGTCCTTGTAGCAAAGAGCGCAGTCTTTGTGGGGCAGAGCTCTCTGTCCCGGTTCCTGTGCCCAGCGAGAGGCAGCTCGTTGCACAGCTGTGGGGCTCACTCGGTGTCCTCACCTTCTGGGTTGACCTCTCGAGGTCAGACTTGTATTGTTGACTGTTAGAACCTTACGGAGAGCATTCCAGAGAGAGGAGGAGCTTGTCCCCACCTCTGTCCTCATGAGTTCGGTTCTAGAGAGTCCCCCACTCACCCCTCCCAGCCTTAGGCTTGGAGCGCCCTGTCCCCTGCTCCCTGGACTTTGTCACTCTCTGCCTTAGTCTTACAGACTGATCAGCAAACAGGAGGTGGCTTTGGCCAGGACAGGGGGCCTGATCTTCAGGTGCAGGACGGAAGACTCAGAGCCTGTGGCTGGCTCTGCCTCAGTGGACGCCTTCCTCACCCCATCAGTTACCCGTTGTGGGTCAGCCGTCTGGGCCGGGTGCAGCGGGCTCCCCGGGCATTCTGCCAGCCTTGCCTGGGTGGCTCATGTGTCATCCTGCGGCCCGAGGGGAGCTGGCTGCTCTGAGATAACCTCGCTTCCGTGGCCGGTTGGCGCTGGCCGTGAGCTGGGCCACGTGCGGTGGCGGAGGAGCTCCCCAGGCCGGTGGGAGCGGGAGCCTGCAGGCCTCTCGGCGCTCAGGTTGGAAACCACACGGTGTCACTTCCGCTTGTTCTGCTGGGCCAGTCGAGGGACAGCCCAGCTGGATTCAGGGTGCGGGGAAACAGATCGCAGCTCTTGGTGGAGAGTTGCTTAGAATTTGTGGCTGTTTTTAATCTAAGATCTGGTATCCTGGCAGCCGTGACACTGGCTTATTTCATTCCATTGTTTACCCCTCATCACTGATTTCTTTTTTAAAGTTCAGTTTTCAATTGTGAGAGACACGGGACATAAAATGTACCATCTTAGCACCTTGAAGTGTACAGCTCAGCAGTGTTAAGTACATTCATTTGCAGTTGTCCAACGGCCACCACCATCCAGCCACAAAACTCTGTTCACCTTCCCAGACTGAAACTCTGTCCCATTAAACAGCAGCTCCCAGTCCCCTCTCCCACCCCTGGCGGCCACCGTCCTACTTTCTGTCTCTGTGACATCTATTGATTTAAAAGTCCAGTGGGCATTTATCATACATCTGCTCTGTATCAGCCATTATGTTTAAAACTCAGAGATGAATGAATACTTCTGAGCTCAAAGAACAGCCCAGTGAGAGGAGAGCTTCATCTGGTGGCAAAACGCACACAGGAGAGAAGCTTTAGCCTCGCAGTCGTCCCTTCAGCCGTTCCTCCTCAGTCACATACTTGTGGGCATGTTGGGACGTGTAATCTCACACCTTCCCCAGCTCTTGCAGTTCAGCAGACTGAGTGAGTGTGGGCTCAGTGCCCAGCTCTCCCCAGCAATGCGCTCAACCCCTGATGGTCAGATAACTGAGGCCAGGTGAGCCTGACCCAGGGTCACGGCTGGTGGGGGCAGAGCTGAGGACCCCAGGGGTTTGGGCTTCTTGCCCAGTAGCTGCACCTCCGTGGGGGCTCCTTCCTTTGGGCCAGCGCACTGTGGTTCCTCCCACAGAGGGTGAGCTGGTGCAATGCTGGGGCTGGGGTTGCTGCCCATTACTGGGGACCACGGTCACTGCCCCAGTGCTGGGGACCCCGGGTCGCTGCCCAGAGAAGCACAGCTCTCACCAGGAGAGCCCTCAATGGCTGGGCAGGCACAGAGTGGTCTCAGGGTGGCGCCCGCCTCTTGGAACCCCTCTTGGGCCTGCAGCCCCCCCTCCCTGCCCGGCCCCTCTTCCTCCCACCCAGGCTGACCCAGCCGGGTGTCTGCTGCTCTCACCTCATCAGAGCCCGAGCCCCAGAGGGCGCGCTGCCTGGCCCAGCCAGGGCGGGGGTGGCCGTGGCCCGCATCTTTCCCACTCACCCATGTCAGCTTGGCAGGCGAGCTGGGGGAGGGTGCCCCTGGGACCCCACTGTGGATGCCTCTCTCATGCTCCCGATATTTCAAGAGGAAAAAGCCCAGCACTTGGAATGCTCCAGAGAGGGGGGGAGCGGGAGGATTCTTGGCATTCCCTGTGGCTCTGGGCTGGGAGTCTCAAGGAGACGCCTGCAGAGGCAGGTCGAGCCCTGGCACTGGGTGGCTGGGCTCTGGGGACCCGCCCCTGCTTCCCACCCCCAAGCTGTCTGGACTTTTCCTTTCTGTCTCCCCCAGTCCTTCACCCGATGGTCAGCTGCCTATTTGGAGACAGTGGGGAGGCTACATGGGAATCAGTTCCTTAATTCCTGTGGTATCAGAAGGTCTCTGAGGGCCAGTGTAGACTGTCCCGGGTGGGCAGGCTTTCCAGCCACTTCCTCGGGAAGAGAGTGAGCACAGGGGCGCCAGGGATCTGCACACAGTCGACTTCTCACCCCTGAGATCCTTGTCACTGTCCCGCTGTGGGTCAGAACGCCAGGGTTCAAGGAAGGCAGGGGCTGGGAGGCTAAATGGATGAAGAGAGACTGGCAGTCAGGTCTGGGTGTGGCTGCAGGCGTCTCCTGCCCACAGGGGGACAGGGCATTCCATCGAGGTGTCCCGTACGTAGAGGACCCCCTTGGTTCTAAACTCTGCTCGGCTGTCCCCCCTCACTGCCAGCCGGATGTCTCTGAGAAGCCCCATAACATGGAGCCGCACTGTCCCCCATCACAGCTCACCTCCTGCACTGCTTGGGGTCCCTGGACCCTCCTGAGCAAGACCCCCCATCTCCTCAACAGTC